TCCCCCCAGGGCCGGGAGGGTGGGTGTGAAAAACCTGTGCTCGCGCCTGCTGCTCTGTGGCCAGCAGCGCACAACACGTGCAAACGAGACGCGCCCAGGCTGCTATCGACTGCCCAGCGCTCTACATGCATGCACAAACACACAGGCGGGGTACTGCAACCGCACACCTGCAATGTGGGCCAGCAAGGGCTGTAATGCGCCTGGCTGCCCGAGTGAAAAACCTGTGCTCGCGCCTGCGCGATCGTGACGCACAACGGTGGTGAGAGAAAGAGGATCGGGCCTATGGCGCCTGTGCGCCTAGAGCTCGCATGCTGATCGCCGCCAAGTGCGGAGAGGGAAATGGCGCGCTCACCTGCTGCTCTGTGGCCAGCAGCGCACAACACGTGCAAACGAGAAGAGGAAAGAAACGAACGTGCCGCCCAAAGTGGGCGGAGTGCCAGGGGGGGTGTCACCCGGGCGTCACTCCAGCTGATCCCTGGGGAACACAAGTGTTCCCCGCCGGCATGCAATCGGGTCCACTCTGTTGCTCCTCATGCTGACCAGGCGTGCCGTTTGGCCAGGCGCTGGTGATCCTGTCGGGCGCCAGGAGGGATGGCGCCGACAACGAGGCCAGCACCCTAATGACTGGGACAGGCGCGCGCGCACATGTGCTAATCAATCCATGTGATGAGCCCGTCTACCCCAAAAGCCTAGCCGACTTCGTGAAATTGCAACTAAACATTGTTCCTGGTGGCCTTGTTGTGTGCGCTGCTTCGATTTGCGAACCAATTAAAGACTTTCTCTCCAGCAGCCTTGTACCCGCACTGCTGATCTTGCACACTTACACCCGGGCCTGCGAAAGCCCCTTCTGCCCCTCACACCCCCCCCCCTCAACCCTGGCGCAGGCAACCGGACCTCAACGCGAGCCCAGGTCGACTCCCTGGGCGTCGTTAACAAGGGGCAGCCCGGCGCCAGCCCCGACGCCAACGTCGTCGGGGACGGCCCCGTCACCCCCACCAACGCCGGCGGGGCGATCGTCCGAGGTTATGCAGACTCGGCCTACCGCCCAGACTTCTCGTCGACCCGGGAGCCCCAGAACCCGGGGCCGCCGGCGCAGAACGTCCGTCTAGAGCTGCAGAGCCGGGGGACCGCCTCGCGGTATGGCGTCACCAGGGGACAGGTGCAAGGCAGCGCAGAGGTGGGTGGGCACACACGGGTAGGGGCCGGTGGTGAGGGACCGACCAAATTGGCTCGCCAGCTGCAAGGCACTGGTGGTCAAAACGTGCGATGGCTCATTGTCAGGGGGTCGCGTAAAATCTCGTCCAGACGTGTCCAGATATAGCAAAATGGAGGGAGAGCCAA